TAATCCAATTCCAAAGCATTCAGGGGATTGAGCATGGGCTGTGGCAGCCCTGGTGCACCCTCACACCACTGCTGTAAAAAGGGGGAATAATGAGAGTCTCCCTAGGCTCCATTACAGCCCAGTGCTAAAGAAAGGGTTTGTGTACCTTGTCTGGCAGGAAAGGATCTCACAGGATTCCTGTTACTCTCCCCGATGTATCACTGGGCCATGAAATTCAAAGAAGACAGCAGACAAAGCCAAGTTACACCTACCTCTGATCTTTGGTTTATTCAGAAGCAAGTAAGTGTCTGAAATTGAACAAATATTGCAGAGGAGGGGGAATGGTATTCACTTAACACCCAGGTAACCCATTCAAAAAATACTGGTACACTTGGGGAAAGCTGGACTTCTTGCTCTCAGAGTGCATCTGCCACCTAATACAAGACATTGCACAAGGACACTGAGAAATCAGAGCTGATGGAGTTTACTCCTGCACAGGTGAAACACTCGGGCATTGTAACAAACACCCAGAGATTTGTTTGTTTACCTGCCTAACCCACATGCCTCTCATTCCTCCTGCCTGGCAGCTCCTTGGTGGCTCTTTCAAAAACTTCCAATTCCTGTGTTATTCCTTTCCCATGTGAGGGAGAGCTGAGCTTGGAAAGAGAGTTCCTAATGTTGGCCCAAAGGTCAGTAATGAACAGGGTACCCTGGGATGATACCAGCCTGAAAACACACACCAAACCAGGAACCCAGCTGACAGCTCACTCATGAACATTAATTTCCTCATGATGTTAATGTTAATCATTAATTCCCTCTTGGAAGCTGCTGCTCCTCTTCCAGCAATGCTGTGCTGCATTATCTGCATTATCTGGACCCAAAGCTCCACCAGGTCGAGCAGGGAGCTGTTCCCAGGGTCCTGAGCCGTGGCTGAGGCTGCTCAAGGATTGTTCTCCATCCTTCTCCCACTGCTCAGCCCCACTTTGGTGCCTCTGCCCTGCTGGCTGCTGTCTGGGTAAGGTTGGAACCCTAATTCTGCTCCCAATGACCACATTAATTTGGATATTTCTTCTCTCTCCAGGTGATGACTGTCACTCGGTGAACACAAACTCATGCCTTCAGAACTCCTCCCCTGTGATGAGGTTTGACCGAGGTGCTCAGCAGCTTCTAGAATGGAGGATGGACTGGGGGAAAACAGAACCTTTATTTTGCTGTAGAGGAGGAAAAAAAATCCCTCCATTATCTAGTTATAATGGCATAAAATGTGTTTATGAGGAAAAAAAAAAAAATCCTTCCATTATCTAGTTAAAATGGCATAAAAGGTGTTTAAAGAGGAGCCTCCTGGGTTTGGACTGGGATAGAATCTGCTCTGGAGGAGTCAGTGCCCTTGCCAACACTCAGTTTAACGCCCTTATGAACTGCTCCTGAATTTGAATGTCTGAGTCTCTCAACCTTGATTAACTGGCCCAACCATGAATGTTAATCACCCTGATTTTCATTGCCTGCAGAGCTATGGTCAACTTCATATCAGCAACCCTGCAGCTCCCCTGAGGTGCTCCAACTGGGAACTTCCCAGGCCCTGCAGAGGAGCCCTGGGAGCTTTGTCTGGCAGGAGCTGCAGCCAGGAGCAGGGCAGGAATCACCCAGCCAAGGGAACTGCTGTGCCTCAAAGACCTTTCCCTTCTTGGGCTCTCCAAGCTGTAAAGGTGTGGGTAACACACAGGAAAAGACGTTTTTAGTTACACTTGGACTCTGAATACATAAAAAAGGACTTAAGTTTGAAACTTGTGTGCTCTTCCCAGCAACAAACAGCTGCTCAGAGATGAGGCAGGATTTAAGGCAACGTCCTTTCCCTTGGAGGGAGTTTAGTGAGTGGGCACAGGGAGATGTACACAACACACACATCTGCAGCAAACGCCCCTGTCAGGCTTTTCCACGGATGTAACCATTCTGCAGCACCATTCCCGAGGACAGGAATTTCCAGGGCTGGGCAGAGCCAGCTGCTGTGAGTTCCTGGTGGCAGGAGCTCCACGTGCTGCAGAGGCAGGGCGTTCCAAAAGCTCCTGTTATCACCGCGAGCTGCTCCTGGAAACTCGCCTGTCAGGGACGCTGCCGCAGCTCTGTTGGTGGTAGAAGATTGTTCCTCCGGACTTTTCTTAAAAAAATAAATAAAATGTCAAGCCCGAAAAGGAAGCCTGCTATTTTTCAAATCCAGGAGCTGTAATCATGCTAATCCATATGATCGTGCTAAAGCCAAGCAAAATGCCTTTTGCATATGATGTAATCAGCCAGGGCAGCCTATTTATAACCAGCACTGGCTGGGAGCACCTTCCCAGAAAAATACAATCAGGACAGCTTTCCCTTGGTCACATTCTTCCTCTTCCTCCCCGTATTTTTCACTTTCTTTGTGCTCTTTCGCCTACTTGTGCTGCATTCCCAGCCTTAAATACAGCAACTTTTTAATTTTTATTTTAACCTAATGCTTCCCGTGCGTTCTGTTTTATCCCTGGTTTAGAGCTGTGCTGAGTGAAATCAATACCAAAACTTCTATTGATTTCATATAATATATTCCTTTAAATTCAGTACAAATGCTCCACAGGAGTTGTCTATTTTAAGTATGGATCTACTGTACAGGGCTGTCAGTCTCTCAGCTGGATACACAAACCAGCGTGGTTTAATAAATTCATTGGTGTGGCTTGGGAGCTTTCCGTGTAATAACTGAAAATCTGTTGCTCATACTGAGCATATCAAGTGTAAAAGGAGAGGATTCATCAATGTGAATATCTATCTGTGGATCGATTGGTATCAATCTTGTTTAACAGTCTATTTCCTCAGGACACACTTTGGGAACAAAGAGCATTTCAAACTGTTGGTTAAACAAACAAATATAGAGAAGCTCTTTGGGCAACATGGGGGTGGAGTAAACACCAGATAAAAATTGTCAGCGATTTCAATTGCCCGTTAATCTCTCCCATTTCATATTAGTAAATACAGAGTTTCTCTTGATGTAATGTGCCCATTAAAGTGCATCAAGAATGGGGCTTCAAAACCATTTTTTGCTCGCAGAAGTGACCTGGAAACCAACATTTGTCCCCTGACCTCCATGTTCAGTAGTTGTCCAAGGAGGAGGGTGACACCTTCTGCTCTGCAAGATTTGTGTTATCCTTAGCTAAATAAAACCCCTTATGAGATGCTGTAAAAACAAAACCCACCCCCGAGAGGATACAGAACTAATTAGATCAGGATGCACTGCTTACCTTGATCTACAACAGTAAGATATTTCATGCCTGTCCCATCCAGGTCCCCCCTCCTCAAGCACCACCAAAAGAAAGAAAATCCTGAAAAGTTTTTGGCACGACTGTGCACAAGCACAAATTTTGGTACAGAGTAAATGCTGTACAGCCCCCGGGGGTTTTGAGGGGCAGAAGTGCCAGTTCAGAGCCAGGTGAAAGGAGCCCGTGGTGTTGTGCAATGTCCTGTGGCAGTTGTGTGGCTGCCTGAGGTGCCACGGCTTCCTCCCTGCTGCTGGGTCAGATTTGGGGTTTGCACCGTGCCCCAGCCCCGTGCCCTCGGGGGGATGCTGCTCTGCCCACACAGCAGCCCTGCAGCTGAACCCTCCCTGCACGGGCAGGAAACTGAGGCACGGACCCTGCTCCGCTGCTCGCTGATGGATGCAATGGCAAGGGCAAGGCCAGTGTGCCTTCAGAGGACCTGGCTCTCCTGAGCCCTTATCTCATGTCCTCCTCCTCCAAATCAACATCATCTCTTCATCAAATAAATCTCTCTGCAGTGTTTTCCAGCAAACCACTTCATTTTTCATAGGCAGACCTGGGGCGTGCGTGTTGTTCCACATTCAGTCACACAGCGATCACGTGTCCCACAGAGATTTTGCAGTGTTTGGAGTTTTTGGAGTTGCTTGGGGTGTTCGCAGGTTTTGGAGACGTGCAGCCCACATCTCCACACATTCAAGGATCCTCACATTTTTGCTTTTGCCAGATCAGCCTGGCTTCAGGGGGGTTGGGGTGACTCTGCTGTGACACTCGGGGGCTTTGCAGCACAGTTTAGTGCCGGGCTCAGCTGAGCCGGGTCCTGCAGCCACCCCCAGCCACACGGACCGTCCCCAAAGTGCCACCCAGCGCCGGGGGCCACCCGGCTGCGGCTCGTGGGGAAGATTTCCGCGTGGCTCCCGTTCCCATGGAGCCCAGCGGCCGAAAAGGGGAGTAAAGATGGAAATTATTCTGCTTTGTATTAACGCAGCCAACTTAGTGTGGGAAAACCCTCTCAAAGCGCCGCTGCTTCAACTTTTTCACACGACTCTTCACGTGCCTCGCGTTTTTACTTGCTGTTAAAAATACCAGCGGCTCAGCATCGCCTGCTTCCCAGAAAGAGAGACTTTTAGAGTCCTCAAACAGCTGAACCAAACCAGCCTAATTGCGCTCCGTCTGCATCCGCTTTTAAAGCCCCTCCAGCCGCCCGCCCCACCGCGGGACCCCGCGCTCGCTGCTCTTCCCCTTGCCACCTTAGCGAGCGACAAAGGGGAGAATGAGCATTGTCCCGGGCTGCTGCTTGCTTTAGGGGAAGAGAGGGGGAGAAAAAAAAAAAAAAAAAAAAAAAAAAAAAAAAAACAAAAAAAACCCAAAAAACAAAACTCTTTAAAGCACGCACAGGTGAGGCAACACCAAAAAAAAAAAAAAAAAAACCCAAAAAAAACTCTTTAAAGCACGCGCAGGTGAGGCAACAAAGGTATTGCCGGTGTGTGCGGGCTGGCAGCCGCGCTGCCGGCCGCGCTGCCCGGGGGTGGCCCGGGGGTGGCCCGGGCTGCCCCGGCCCCGCGGGGCTCTCGCCTTTGTCGCCCGCCGGGGCGGGCCGGGCGCGGGGACTACATGGCCCAGCGTGCCCCGCTGCGCGGATCAATGGGGCTGATTTGAATAATCTGTGAGCCCTTGGACTCAGGCCAATCAGCCGTCAGGGACCCATGATAAATCGCAATGCATTATTGATAATAATAATTACTCTGACATGCGCATTCCGCCCAAATTTCCCAACTCTAGGAATTTGTTGTGAAGAGGAAAATAATTGCTACTATTGCATGCTCCCGATGCTGGTGCACCATGTCGCGACGGAAGCAGGCGAAGCCCCAGCACATCAACTCCGAGGAGCAGCCCCCAGATGCTGCAAGTGGTGAGCGCAGAGGGGCGCGGAGCGGCCGCGCTCCCGGCCGGGCTGATGCGCGGGGAGCGGGGGGCGCTTCCCGGGGGGCTTTTTCCACCCTCGTGCTTCATCCCCCTCGCCTTTCTTTCCCCCCGCGGGTTCTGCCCGGAGCCGGCTCTCGGGTTTTTTTTTTTGGGGGGGGGGTCGAACTCCCCGGCGGGGCTGAGCGAGGCTCGGGGTCCTCGTTATTTTTGGGGGGGTTCGGCTGCGGAGCGCAGCGCTGGCCCCGCAATGCCCCGCACGCTCCCCCCGCGCCCGCGGAGCCTCCGCCGGGTCCCGCGTGGGGCCGCGGCCGCGTGGGAGGGGAGCCCCAAAGGCTCCCCGAGGCGGAGGGAATTTGGGGGGATGGGGGGGGAGGGGTGGGGGAGCAGAGGGAGAAATTGCAGAGAACTTCGGAGGGGTAGGAAATGGCTCGCGCTGGGTTTCCTCGGTGTGCTTAGCACTTGGTCGGGAGTTAGATGAGAATTTTTGCGGGGCTTTAAAAAAAAGAACAAACAAAAAAACAAAACGAGGGAGAAAAAAAAAAAAAAAAAAAACCCCCACCCTCGGACTATTTTTGTTGGAGATCACAATCGCCCTGGACCTTTTGTAGCTTGACCTCCAGCCATCTTTGATTTCCGACTTCCTAAAATAACTCCGGTGAGCTAATGTGGGGTGTGCGGGAGCGCTTTGTACTTGGGCGGCGTGGGGGGCTCCGCTCTCCCCGCTTTTGGGGAGCTCGCGCTCCTGGGCCGCGCTACGGGAAAAGCAGAAATTCCGCCTGAAATCGGCCGGGAGCTGCCGGTGCGGGGTGGGCGTGCAGGGCAAGGGCAGGGGGCACTCGCCGGTGGCCCCCGCGGGAGAGGGGCTCCCGGAGCAGCATCCTCCCGAGCCGGGCTGCGGGCTCGGGGCGCTCCCGCCGTGCCCGTCCCGCTCCCGGGCGGAATGCGGCGGGAGGAGGGCACGGCCCGGCCCAGGCTGGGGAGAGTTTGTTCGGAGTTGTTGCCGTTGTTGTGCCCAAATGTTTGTGTGCTCCCCTCCCAAGAACTTTCTTTGGGATCTTTGCTTGGTTTTGTGTCCGTGCCTAGAACCGATCAAAACGCATGCACGTTACGGGAGCTGCTTATTCCCAGCCCGCAGGAGGTTTCGGCTCTTTAATTTTTTTTTTTTACCCCTCCTCCCCCTTCTCTTCTTTGAGTCGAAATGTGCAATTGTTGGGTCCGGTTAATGGTGACTTAAGAAACAGCATGCTGGCCAGAAGGCAATAAATCCCATGTTTAATGCATGACTGTTTTCCTTTGTGCATATGGTTAGGTTGGGGGATGGAGGTGATGTTTCCACATGTAAATCTCTGCCCGCTGCTGGAAAGGCACCTCCGGCCCCGCGCTGAAACAAAAGGGTTAATCACTCCTGATGCGGCCGCTGGGGCGGGGGAGGCGTGCGGGAGGGAGGGAGGGAGGGAGGATCGCTCCACACCGCGCTCTCCGGGGCAATGGCCAGCTGCTTTTTTGTTATTGTTGTTCGGGCTTCCCCCCCCCACCTCCCGTTCTCAATTTTAACAACCAAACCCTGGATGAAATCCCTCCGGGAGCGCCCAGCGGCCGCCCAGGCCGGCGGACCCGGGGAGGCTGTGGCCCCGCCTGGGGGGGATTCTGCTGCTGCTCGTGGGGTGCTGTGGATTTGGGGGGTCGGGGCAGGTCCCGTCCTGCGGCATCTCCGCTCTCCGAAATGAAACCCGGCGCCTCGGACCGCCCGCCAATCTCCCAAATAGTCTTGATATTCCCCGCTCCAGGTGTGCCCGTAAATAATAAGTGATGAAGTTGCATAACAAAGTCGAAATTCCGCAGGGATTTGTCCGGGGCATTAGCGAGGATATACACATACTCGTAATAATAAAATCAAGCCCTTATCTCCTTTTTTGCAAGTATTCTCTTTTTTTCCGCAAAGCGATTTGGGACCCACCTCTGTGAACAATGCAGCGGGTTAAAGTGTCCCGCGAACCTGGGGATCCATTAACAGGTCAAAAAATCAGCAGGTGGTCACAGGGGAATAATGCTACATACTGAAAATTAGCATTTCCACAAAGGGCTTGAAAATGCCTATTGTGCCGGATTGCTGCCATTAAAAATCGGATTCATTCTTAAAAATACAGTATCAAACTGCAATTTTTTTTTTTTTTCCTCAGGGTAAAATTAGCGTAGCTTTGCTTCAATTATATCTCCGATTCGCGCGCCGAGCTCTGTAGGACTGGAGAAGGACGAGGAAAGGTAGAACGAGGAAAGCCCAAGTTTTGTGGTGGTTTATCTTCGGTTTCTTTCGCTTGCCCGAAGCTGTGCCTGGCCCGGCCGGGAGCCCCGGCTGCGGGAGCATCCCCGGGTGCCGCAGCCTGGGCAGGGGGAGACGGTGCCGGGGGGCGGAGGGGGGCGATGCCCGGCTTGCTTTTCCTTTTACGTAAGTGAAACATTATATTGGTAGCAGGGATGGAGCCCTTTCGCCGCGCTCGGCGGCATGTGACGTTTTGACAGAGCTGCTGCTCTAACCTTTGCCTCCTCCTGCTTGCTGTGGGTGGTAAGTTGATGTCAGGCTCACAATTAGGACTCTCATGCAATTGACCTTGGCAGCGGGGTTTGTGCCGTTTAGCTCGCCTTTAAGCACCGCGCGGGTGTTAAGCGTGCTCCAGGTAGGGCCGGGGCAGCGCGGGGGGCTCGGGGCCGGCTGGAGCGACCCCCGGGGCTGCGGGGGCGGTGCGGGGCTCGCTGTCATCCCCGCTGGGTGCGGGAGACGCTGCCATCCCCGCTGGGTGCAGGACACTGGGTGCGGGACACGCTGACAGCTCCGCTGGGTGCGGGAGGCGGTGCGGGGCTCGCTGTCAGCTCCGGTGGCTGCGGGGGGCGATGCGGGGCTCGCTGTCAGCCCCGGTGGGTGCGGGACACGCTGTCAGCCCCGGTGTGTGCGGGAGCGGTGCGGGGCTCGCTGTCAGCCCCGGTGGCCGCGGGGCCGGTGGCCCTGCCCGGGGTGCCGGCGGTGGCCCCCGGTGTGTGCGGGAGCGGTGCGGGGCTCGCTGTCAGCCCCGGTGGCCGCGGGGCCTGCAATCCTGCCCGGGGTGCCGGCGGTGGCCCGGCGGGGCCGGAGCACGGGCCGTGAGTGCCCTCCACCGACCGGCCCCGGCAGCGGGCCCGGCCCGGCCCGGGGCGCTCCGAGCGGGCTGCGCCCTCGGCGTCTCGGCTGCCCCGCTCTCCCCGCGCCTTTCTGCGCTTATTTCGCTCTTCGCAAGCAAATTCGCTGTGGTTTGTTGTGCCTCGGGCTGAACGTGTCGCTTGAAGGTGTGGATAAGGCCACAGGGGGGATTAGTGAGTAGGTAATGGAATAATTGGAGCCTTCAGACAGAGGTTGTAAGCAGTGAGATGCTGATTGTGGGGGAAACGCGTTTCTGCCTCGTTCTTGGGTAGAAAAACGCAGCTGATGAATTCAGCTTTGGAATATCTCTGTGAGTTGGCAGTCGTGCGTTTTGCTTACTCAAAAAAGTGGTTTTGTCGCATTTAAAATGCGCTAAATGGTGTTTGGTAGGGGGAGAAGGGCGATTTGGGGCAGTTCAGAGCTTTTGGAAGCCCTCTCCTTTGGAGAAGGAGAAAAGCATCAGGGAAGTGCGACCCTGAGAGCGACAGCGAGCTGATGGCAGAGGGTTCGTGTTCAGCAGTGGAGGGGTGGTCATCAATCCTCTGTGAGTTAATTTAAACCGGGGAAGTGCATGGTCTTTGTTAACATTAAAGTAAAAGTAGTTGATCAGACTTAGTCTGTGGGGAAAGCAAGCTCACCAAAGGTATCAAAACTCCCCAATAAAAAAAGTGCGTGGGAAAGCTTGAATTCTGTTTCATCCCAATTCAAGCGAAATAAAGTTGAGGAAACGAGTCACTAATGGCTGAGATGAGTGGTAGGCCAGCAGCACCCTTCTTGAAATCACATCAAACTAGATTTACTTCACTCCTTTTACTGTTTTCCCTTAAAAAAAAAATCATTTGAGCGGTGTGGATTTTATCAGCCTTCCTTGTCGATGACCGCCTTGTCCTACACAATAGTGGATTTTATCCATCCATTTGCCAGTGATTCAATCTAACCCCCCTGCTGGGTTTACTGCATTCTTCTAACTTATTGGATAACTAGATGCTGAGAGATAACATTCCTGAAATTCGGGGGTGGGGAGATAAAAAAAAAAACACAGTAGAATTCTGTCCCTGGGAAGCCTTTGGAGAGGGTTAAGTGAAGTGCAGGAGGCATGGCCGTGGCAGGGCAGTGCTGGGTGAATCCTCGGCCAGTGCTTTGGAGAGGGTTAAGTGAAGTGCAGGAGGCATGGCCGTGTGTCAGGGCAGTGCTGGGTGAATCCTTGGGCAGAGCTGCCCTCCTGGCATGAAAAACCCCGAGTTCAGGCTGGAATTTCGTTTCGGTGGTCGCTGCTGGGCTCGGGCAGCTGAGGGGCTCTGATGGCAGCACTTGGGGCAGGGCAGAGGAGGGAGTTGCAAATCACGATGGTTTTCACAGATGATTTTCACAGAAGCCGTTGGGTTTTTTACAGAAACAGTCAATTGCTCCTTTGTTATTCCAGCTACTGTAAAATAACCCGGCGTCCTACTTGTGACTTTATCTAAAACCCTTTCTTTAAGGTAAAAGGAAAAATAATGCATAACTTCCCTATTTGTCATGCAGCAAGTCGTTTCAAGCTCTGAATTGAATTTTTTCAGCCAATGTTTCACTGTCAGGGAAAGGAGAATATGTGACAGGGCACAGGGACCTTCAGTGCACTGGAGTCTCCTCCTCTGAGATGGCAACTGCTGCTCAGAACCAGGAAAGTTACCAGAGCTCCTCACAATTACAAAAATGAGGAGCGTGGGGTGGAGATTGGGAAAGGGGCATTGAATTTAGTGTGATCTTATCGGCGCAGAAGGAGAAAAATAAGAAGTATTATCAAGGGAAAGGAGATAAATGATCGGATGCTTTGAAGCAGTTAAAGTTTGAGGACTTGTCTAGACATTATCCTGGAGTATCTCCTTGGGGGTGGGCAGCAGTGTTTGGTGCAGACATTTCTGTGCCACTGGAAAAAGTAAAAGCTGAGGTTATTTTTTAATATTTTGTGACGTGGAAACGTGTTGTTCTGCCTGGGAGATGGGACTGGGAAAGCCGCAAACACTTAAGGATTTGGAAAAGAGATTTTCATATTTTAGTGTATTCTATGAAACAAGAAAGTAGTCAAAGACCTCTCAAGTCAGTGTAGAGTAGTTCTAGAGGTTTTTTTGTTTTTTGGGTTTTTTTTTTTTTTAAATCCAGGTACCTTCTTTCCAAGTATATCTGCTCAGGCTCCTGCAAAACGAGTTTAAAATAAACTGTTCTTGATCCTGGCTGACTGTTGACCAAGTTCTGAATTGTGCAGTAGTTGTACTTGTCTGCAGGCTGGACTTCTCTGTGTGTTTTTAGAGTTAAATCAGCTTTAGAGACATCACTTTAATGGTATCTGGGATGGGAAACGTGTGCTGCCATTCTTGTTTCTTTCACTTTACAGGAGTTGTTTGGGCCCAAGGGGAAGTGTTTCATTTTCCCTGTTTAAATGGGAGGCATCCAAACATTTTTGATTGTAGCTGTGCTGAGAACTCCCTTCCTCCCCGTTCAAGGACTTGTGCAGGTTTGGATTTATTGCTCTGCAGATCACAGCAGAACAGGCCTCTGATTCTTGAGAATTTTTGTTGTTGATCAAACGTTTTCTTTTTCCGAGTAGACTTTCACACACACTTCATGCCACACAACATTAAAGGTTGAAGTTTGCTTTGCTGAGCACGCACAGTGCCCTTGCCGAGGTCAGAAATGACAAGGTTTTGCCGTATCCTCCCTCCGAGCGGTTTTGCACCCTCTCAAGCAGGGTAAATGTGCTCGAGCTGTCACCTGGACACGGTCCCCTCCACGTGCAGGACACACCCGGGCTGGTTTGGCCACACCTTGCACGAACCAAAGCCACCAGAAGCTCCTGAGCTTCACCTCGTCCATCCCGGGGACAACTGGGCACCCGGGGCTGGGCAGGACGGGGTGACCCCCTGCCCTGAGCTCGCTGCACCCTCGGCACCCCCCAAATTAGAGCCATTTCATGAGCTCCAGGATGTCTCAGCCGAGGGGGCTGGAATCCCAGGAGCCTTTCTGGGAGGTTTTCCCTCCTGCCCTGAGCTCTGCCCCACCTCCAGCGGGCTGGGAGTTTGTTGTTTGAAGGATGGCAAGGCTGAGCAAAAACATCCTGTTTTGGTTATCATTTCTCTTCACCTCTTGCTGTTCAGATATTTCCCCGATTTTTTTTTATTGGTTGTTATTTTGGGTCTTTTTGGTTTTTTTTTTTTGGTCTATGTACAAATTCTGCTCAGTCTGAGCTGTGGTGTGCTGGTGGTGGAAGGGCAGGAGTGGACTCGGAACCCAGCTTGTTTTTCCCTGCCCCTTCCCAGAAGTTGGTGAGTTCTGGGTGCAGCTGAAGGAGGCCTCCTGCGAGGTCAGAAATGCCTAGGTGTAGTTTTGCCAGCAGGACTTGTTACGTGTATTATTTTTTTAATAATAATAAGTATCAATGGAGGCTCATACTCGAATGTCAAGTTCCGGAATTTAATCAGGTGTTTGCTACTGTGTCCATGTGGAGATTATTATTGGGGTGTGTTTGCTTTCAACGGATTTCAGAGCTCATATTGGCCTGGCTTTGCTGTTGTCAACCCTCTTGGCTTGTTATTACTTTCATAATGGCAGAGCAAAATCTCGTTTAGATGGGTACAGTAAGAATTGCTCAAAATTCCTGTGTTAACGATCCTGTATGAATTTCTGAGGGATGGTTAACAAAGAATTAGAACCTGAAGTGTAAACAGCTAACTCCTGTGGGGTGTTTTGCTCAGTGCTTCCATGCCTCCTCTGTCCTGGTGTTCCTTTTAAGCTGTGTTGCAGGTCGCTGCCTTGCAGAACTCTTCCAGGGGACTTTTACCTCCATAAAGGGATTTGGAATAAATCTCTTTTCATTGAGCCTTGTGAGAGTCCTTTTAAAATATGGTTTTTTTCTTGTAAACTGAACTGTGATGTAAATTTATTGGGATTGTGAAGGAATTGGCATCAAAACAAAGAGCAGAACTTCAGATTGATCTGCAAACTTGATTCCAGTGTCCTGTACTTTAATTTGCAGTTTGGGTGGAGTCAGTGATCTTAGTAGTGAATGCTTGGTCTAAATCTAGCAATTAATAATGTGACTTTCTTTTCTTTTAAGGGAGTCCACAAGACGTCCCAGGTGATAGAGATGGTGAAATGAGTTCCAAAAGGTGCCGCACGGAGGAAACCAAAATCTGTGAGAAATGCTGTGCAGAATTCTTTGTTCTCTCTGAATTCCTTGAGCATAAGAAAAATTGCACTAAAAATCCGCCTGTTCTAATCATGAATGACAGTGAGGGAGCAGTCCCCCCTGAGAGCTTCTCCGAGGCTCCTCTGGGGACCTTCCCGAGCGACCGAATGGATGGCAGGACACGCAAGGACGCTCAGGCCAAGGGCTGCACCGGCTCTGTGGACAAGAGAGAAGGAAAAATGGATGCTGAGCCGGTGGGAGGAATGTACCTTAAAATAGAACCCCCCCTGACGCCTGCAGCTCCCGGCCTGAGCTATCTACCAAAACCCAAAGTACCAAACACTAACGTGACTTTGCAGACCATCCGTGGCACTAAGGTGGCCGTGAACCAGCGGACGTCCGAGGCCATCTCCTCCTCGGCAGCTGGGTTCAACGCCATCCCCATGATCCTGGAGCAGCTGGTGTGCCTGCAGCAGCAGCAGCTGCAGCAGATCCAGCTGACGGAGCAGATCCGCATCCAGATCGCCATGATGGCCCCCCACGCCCTGCACCCCTCCATTGCAGCTGCTACCGACCCGCTCAAAGCTCTGGGTGCCCACATGTCCCAGCAGCTCTCGGCTGCCGTGGCTTTAATCGGACAGAAAGCTGGAAGCCAGAGCCTATCACTGGAATCCTTGAAGCAAGGAAAACTACCTCATTCTAACACTGGCATTGCAGCCGCCAGCTCGCTGGCTGCTGGGCTCTCCTCCTCCTTCCCCCTGAAGCCAGAGGGGAGCCGAGGCCTCCCCGGCTCCATCTCTCAGTTCCCAAATCCTTTGCTACCTCAGTCCTCCAGCTCGGTCATCTTCCAGAACCCGCTGTCGGCCGTCTCGTCCGTGATGGATTCCTCAAAGAAGGGCAAGGGGAAGCCGCCCAACATCAGCGTGTCTGAAAGCAAACCGAACGCAGAGGAGCCGTTCTTCAAACACAAGTGTAAATTCTGTGGGAAGGTCTTTGGCAACGACAGTGCCCTGCAGATCCACCTCCGCTCCCACACCGGGGAAAGGCCCTATAAGTGTAACATCTGTGGGAACCGCTTCACGACCAAAGGAAACCTCAAAGTGCATTTTCAGCGCCACAAAGACAAGTACCCCCACATAAAGATGAATCCTTACCCAGTTCCTGAGCACCTGGACAATGTTCCTACCAGCACTGGAATCCCGTACGGGATGTCTGTGCCACTGGATGAGTCCAACCTGATTGTGGACAGCAAACCTCTCCTGACAACAATGCCTACCTCTGCGGCCGCAGGCGCACCTCAGACCATCTCCAGCCTGGCAGGCATCAAGGACGCTCTGCCTGGTACCTTCTCAAGTGAGCTGCAGTCCAGGCCCTCTCCCGAAAGCGAGGGTGGCTCCTCCTCGTCGGGGGCGGTCGGTCACGAGTCGGGGACGGAGCAGAGCTTGAGCTCACCACAAGCTGCCTGCAGCGTGAGCATCTTCCACGTAGGTGGGTCAAACGAGCAAGGCTCAGAGACATCAAAGCTCCAGCAGCTGGTTGAAAATATCGACAAATCCACTTCTGACCCCAACGAGTGCCTGATCTGTCACAGGGTGCTGAGCTGCCAGAGCTCGCTGAAAATGCATTACCGCACCCACACCGGGGAGAGGCCGTTCAAGTGTAAGATCTGTGGCCGTGCCTTCTCCACTAAAGGGAACCTTAAAACCCACTACGGCGTCCACAGGGCCAACACCCCCTTGAAGATGCAGCATTCTTGTCCGATTTGCCAGAAGAAGTTTACAAACGCCGTGGTGCTGCAGCAGCACATCCGCATGCACATGGGCGGGCAGATCCCCAACACCCCGATGCCAGAACCCCCCTGCGACAGCGCCGAGGTGGAGCCTGCCGTGCCCGAGAAGAACGGAGACATCGGTCGCCCAGAGGAGATCGTGGAAAGCATAGACATGGAAGATGACGTGGACTCTCAGGACGGCCCCAGGAGCTCCTCCAAACCTCCTACTCCGTATGATGCACAATCAGAGTCGCCCGCCGCGGCCGCCGCCTTCTCCGGGGCTGCAGCGCTGGAGAGTCAGATGAAGATCGCCGCCTCCTCGCTGGGCTTGCAGCGGCAGAGCAGCCTGAAGTCCAGCGACAACGGCTCGGCAGAAAGCGACGGCATGACCAACGACTCGTCCTCGGTGGCGGGCGATGCCGACTACCAGAACGGCAGGAGCCCCGCCGCCTCCGAGGCCGCGTCGCTGCAGGCGCTGTCCCCGGCCAACAGCCAGGCTGAGAGCGTCCGCTCCAAGTCACCTGCCTTCAACAACCAGGAGGATTCGGGCACGGGGAGCAAGTCAGAGGGTCCTGAGAGCGCTCCTGCGGAAGTGGAAGGGGTTGTTGGCGCTTTGGATTTAACGTACGGCAATATCGGTCGGAAGGTCATTAAGGAAGAGCCTGGGCTACACTTTGCAAATGGAGAATATGGTGAGTAGTGCAGAATGCTGGCAGGGATTGGGGTGGGGCAGAAGGAAATCAATCCTAAAAGGACCCACGGGAAACCAAACTTCCTCAGCTTTCCCCTCTTCCTGCTCCTCTGTTTGGACAAGGGCATAGGCCCTGTCAAGTTTTCCTGACTAAGTCAGGCCTAAAGTTCAAAGGCTTAACTGCTGTCATCTCCTTAAAATTAATGTAGACTGTGCTCTCTCTGTGTTTCATGGGCTCACTTGACATCTCCTTATAGCTCCTTAAAAATACACATTTGTGTTTTAAGGGAAAGCTGTTTATCCCAAGAGTGTGATGTGGAAACCCTAAAATAGTCTGTGGGGTTTTCAGGCTCTGTGGCATTGAGGTTAACGTTGATCTAAATTTGACCTGGAAGACTTTCTATCTCATAAGCTCATCAACAAACCCAGGATGAACTGATTTGTTTTGGGGTATCCTAGGAAGTGTGGTGGTCTCTGCAGATGTGCTCTTCAGGCACATGCAGCTTCAAAGGCAGGGCCTCGAGTCTCAGCCAGGCTTAAGCTTGGCAGCAGAATTAGGCCGGGCTAAGCATCACCTCTGCTTTCTTTCCAGGTCGAAGCAGTATTCCAGCTGCTTTTGTCAGAGCCCCACCAGCCCTGATAAAAATGGAGCTGCCCAGCGATCGTCCCCTCAGCACTGGCCACTTCATTGGCCCTCCAGCCCTGTCCCCGGGGGTCGCCCCTCTGCTGGTGCCGCGCCCCAAGTTCTGCCGTCCTGCCAAACAGCACATCTGCACTACCTGCGGGAAGAACTTCTCCTCTGCCAGCGCCCTGCAGATCCACGAGCGCACCCACACCGGGGAGAAGCCCTTTGCCTGCACCATCTGTGGGAGAGCCTTCACCACCAAAGGGAACCTCAAGGTGGGTCTTTGTTGTCATCTCCTCGGTCTGTGAGACTAAGACTAGAGATGAAAAGACTTTCTAATATTTGAGTTCCCTCTGAGGCAGTGCTGATTTTCTGTATTCCTCGAATACTTACTGTTGACCCTTGTCTCCTTCCTGAGTTTCTCCACACAGTTTTTTTGTGTGTTACTGGGATCACCCACAGGTCTTTGCTGCTGTCCTTGACTTCCCTTTTGGGATGGAAGGGGAGGCTTAGCCCTCACTAAGCAGATTGCTTTCTTTTTTAATTTGGATTTGGATGTGTCAAGACATAAGCGTTTCATAGACTGCTCCTACAAAATGCTGCCTGCTGAGTAAAAGCATTACACTGCACTGCTTGAAATTTTGTGAGATGAGGAGGGATAAACTGGGATAATCCTGAGATGGCACAGAGTGCTTGGGGATTGTGGCTAAGCACATGCTGAAGAAGTGCTGTGAGTCTGTCCTTTTGCCAGATGAATCCATTTGCCCCATGAGTGATTCAGCTCCCTCACTTGCACAGAGGCTTCTCCCTCCCTGTGAGAACGTCTTCAGGTTCTTCAGTCCTCTTGCATAAATTCTGGTGGGGAGAGAAAATAGCCTGCAGTGTGTGAGCAGTGCCTTGCTGGAAACACCAGCAGAATGTGATATGGAAGATTTCAGCTTAAATGAACCTCTGCCAAATTACTTGGTGTTTTTTTGCATTACCCATTTTTTTTTTCAGCTTTTTTCAGTATGGTCTGTTTGCAGCAGATAATGTGGTTTCTGTTTTGGGGGAGAGAGGGTGTCTTTGCCAACAGCACTTATTCCAAGTGTAGAACACATTCCTCCAAGCCCTCTAGCAGCCAACTCCAGAGAGCCACGGTGATGTCAGGCAGTGAATGACTGTGTCTGACACGTGCCAGGGAAGGGAACTCTGACAAGAACCACCCAACTTAATATTTACCTGAATGCAAACGGAGCAAGCCTGACTTCTTTGGGCTACTTGGCCGCAAGCAAAGTAGAATTTGGGTCCACCACGGAAGAGCTGCAGAATTAACGATTCTCTTTGCTTTCCCCCCCTCTCCGGAAGGTCCACGTAGGAACCCACATGTGGAACAACTCGGCCAGGCGGGGCAGGCGGCTGTCCATCGATAACCCCATGGCCCTGCTGGGCAGCGACCCCAAGAAGGTGTCGGAGATGTTCCCCAAGGAGATGGTGGCGCCCTCGGTGAGCATCGACCCCGCCGTGTGGAACCAGTACGCGGCCGTGCTCAGCAACGGGCTGGCCGTGAAGGCCAACGAGATCTCGGTGATCCAGAGCGGGGCCCTGCCCGCCCTGCCCGTGCCCATGGCCGGGGGCTCCCCGGTGAACTCTGCCCCGGCCTCCAAGGCGGACTCGGCCCAGGCTGGCGCCGCCGCCGAGGCGGAGAAGGCGGGCGCTGCCGCCGCAGACAGCGTGCCAAAACACCAGTTCCCCCTCTTCCTGGAGGAGAACAAAATCGCCGTCAGCTAAAGACTCGGCAGGAGTTGACCTACAGAAAGAACAAATATATATAGACACAAACGTATATTTTTAAGAGATTCCACTTCGGCCTCCTATTTTCCTATTGACGTGCAAATGATTTTATGGTTGTCTTTGTAAGAGTTGCCCAGAGTACAATCATGATATTGCTTTGCAAATAGTAATTAAGAAAGAATAGGATTTCCTTCTATTTGGAAAGATGCGGGTCTTGCAAAGTAGTTCTTACGTGTGACTTTAATGTGTACAAGCCTTACAGAAGTTTCTACAACTTGAAATTCCAAAGGTTAGAATATTTACCTCTTTGTTTAGAGTGATAATGGGGGTTTTGAATAGAGTGGAAACAACCTACTGTTGATGGAAAAGCTTCTATTTACTGATGAGAAATGGAAACTATTGATGCGGGTAAATATCCTAGAATGTCTGCCACCCTCTTAGAATTTTTCTGTTTGGATTTTTGGCTCTGTGTGGTTTCTGAATGTACTTTTTCTTAATAATTGCTATAAAAACTGCAAAGTTTTTTTTTTTTTAAATTCCTTTGGTTTTTTGCCTCAGAAGTTCTATGAAAAGCAAGTTGCTGTTTTTCTTTAGTCACTGCTCCTAAGTAATTAATTCTTTGTGTTGTTGACTGCTGCTTATTTAATACTACTACTAGGACAGTCCTTCAAGTATAGTGCCAAAATTCCTGCTTCCAAAGATGTGCAGTTTTTCCTAGATGTTTTATTTCAATACCAAGAGCCCCAAACAAGCATGGGTGGGTATGTATATACTTTTTTTTTTTTTTTTTTTTTGTTTTTTTTTTGTTTTTTTTTTGTTTTTTTTTTGTTTTTTTTTTGTTTTTTTTTTGTTTTTTTTTTGTTTTTTTTTTGTTTTTTTTTTGTTTTTTTTTTGTTTTTTTTTTGTTTTTTTTTTTTTTTTTGTTTCCTCTTGAAAGGGAAGACTTGCCTTGGGAAGTCAGGTCTGAAAGCTCTGCAAGGAATCTCGGGTGACTGTTGCAATTTGCCATGGGAACTGGTTTCCTTAGCAAGAGACTTTTTGTTTAGTTTTGTTGTTTTTTTGTTTGTTTTTTTTTTTTGTTTTTTTTTTTTTTGGGTAATTTAGGAGATCAGTCTGTGTAAACCTGTATTTAAATATGAAGTATTCATGCTTAGGTTAAATGTTTTGTGGGTTTTTGGATGGCATTCCTACTCTGGTCATTAAGGGTTTTTTTGGCGGTCTGCGAGCTTGCATTCCACCAAAATGGTAATTAATGATCCATGTGTGTTGTATGAAGGTTGCTGGGATAGTCATCTGGATTCTAAGTTATCTACCTCATTTTTTTCCTTTTGTAGCTGTAGTGTCTATTTTTTCTAATAATGACCACTGTAATGACTGAGATTCAAGCAGATGCTTCCATGCACTATGTGAAACCAAAACCTGTTGTATTATTAGTGGAAGCACCTGAGGAGTTGCTGGACTGACCTTTCACTATTCCTCGAACTCCTGCTGGAACTGGATGTGGAGTGGGATCTGAACCAGGCTGCAAAGGGAGCATTTGGTGTGGAAGGACTGAAGGAGGGAAAGAAACCTGGCTGTTGACTGCAGGAAATCTTTCAAGTCCAGTCTCTTGTGGAAGGCCCCAAAAATGCAGATTTACCAAAAGTTTGTGTGATGTTGTTGCACCTGATTCTTGCTTATGATCTCTGTATGCCGAGTTGTGCCTTTCCTGCTGGACTCGTGGGTAAGAACATACCAGTACCTGTTTACACTGTAAAATGGATATTGTTACATAGACCACGCAAAAGGCATCCCAATTGTCACATTTCTACATCGTGAATGTATGACTTCTAAGAACTCTGTAGTTTTGAGTATCTACTGATGCGTTTCTGTTGACGTTTTTGAGAATAAATTTTGGGATGGCTTTTTCACACTTGGTGCTTTTTTTCTGGCAAAAAGCTTTTTGTGTGCTGAGGAGTGAGGTGAGGAGGCAGCATAGCATGCTGCTTCACTCCAGGGACTGAAATCCAGGAGTTGAGTTAGGCTTTAGTTCACTGCTCAGAACAACAGGAACCAGGAAGCTGGGAAGGAGTTGGAGATCATTCCTCAGAAACATCTGGGGTTTGATGAAGGGTTTGGGATGTGCCAGGGATGTCGATTTCCACATTAGAATAGAATGACAGCAATATGTGCAATCATTTTTGTACTGTGATCATCCTACAAAGGGAAAAAGAATATTAAGTTGTCAAATTGCCAGTGCCTGAAGATGCTGGCTGCATGGAAAAGGGATAAATAACTTCACCTAAAGAGCAAAGAAAAACAGTTCTGAGAACAGCCCTGATAAAATGGAAAAGTGCTGAGGTCCTGATTCTGGCAACATAATCCAGCAAATGTCTTTTGCCTTTAGGAGGTAACAGAGAAAGAAAAGGGGTGCAGAACCAGGGAACCCTAAAGCTGCACCGTTCCAACATCAGAGCTGCCTGCTCACGGTGCTCCTTGCTCAGTCCTTGGGAGTGCAGAAAGCAAACACTTGTTTTCTCATCTCTGCCGAGCTCTGAAGGAAGGTGTAGGGAGGGCAGGACAAGTCTGAGGTCCAGGAAGCTCTGTCCCTTGCAGTGCTGGGTTGGATTTCTGGCCAGGCTCTGGGGCTCTGACTGCCTCTTCCTTTCCATCCACTGCAGTGCAATTCCATATTCACACCTCTGCTGCCTTCAGGTGTACGCTCAGCAGGCTGGACGCTGGGGAGATGAGGAGGGAAGGGTTTTATAAAGCCTGAGTGCTGGTCTAGACCTAAACAGTGAGAAAAGTGCTGGCACTCAGGTGTGATGGGGCAGTGGGGTCAGGCTGGGCTGTGCCTGCCTTGGGGCAGAGCCCAAATGCTGTCACCTGGCCTGGGGCATTCAGGGCTTTGTTCTCCTGGCCTGGGGCACTGCAGGGCTTTTCTCTCCTGGCCTGGGGCACTGCAGGGCTCTGCTCTCCTGGCCACGGTGCCAGGTGTTGGCTGTGCCCTGTGCTGTGACAGCCTGGTGACAAAGCAGCTCCTTGGAGCAGGGTGAGATCCCTGGCTAAGCCAGCAGGTTCTGGATCTTCCCACACCTCCTGGGTCACAGGTAGGACCTATCTGAGCCTCCCCACAGCAGGAGCTGGGCCACAGGGATGTTCCTGCTGCAGAGGAGTTTGCAAAGCAAGCAGGGCTGGGCATTACCTGCTCTCCCATGTGTGAGAGCTGAACCAACGCCCTGGGAAAGCCAGTCTGCTGGAAGTGCCCACAGTGGCAAGTGTGCTCAGCTTACAGTAACATCTTCAGCTGCATCTCAACAAGTAAAAGAGACAGCTGATTGTCTTGTGGCCTTGGCTGATGTGACTCAGGAGTGAGTTCACGGAGCTGATGCAGCTGCAGGGATGTGAGAGCAGAGTGAGCTCGGTATGTGCCCTGTCTCTGCTCATCAGCCTCTCCTCTTGCCTGGAGCACTTTCTTGTTGCTGTTTGCTATTGCTTGCTTTGCCCCTCACTCAGGATTTGCAGGCTGTTGCTGTTGTGTAAGTAGCAGATGTGCTTGCATGAGCGAAGGTAAAACCTGACTTGCTTAAAATGTCAAATTTGAACTTAAACATTGCATTACTTAAAACAAAAAAACTGGAACAGGAAGTAAGTAGGTTTGCTTTACTTTAATGTATTACCTCAAGTATTCCTCTAAGGAAAGATTACTTTTAACCTGCCCTTTCTGTTCAAAGCTTCCCAAAAAGTCAGTGGGAACTTTGAGGAGGGAGTTTGACAATTATAGATGAGCAGCTCTGGGCTGAGCTCAGCAAGGCTGGGTTGCCTTTCCACAGTGGCAGTGGGGGAAGGACCTGGCTGAGGTGTTTGAATGGATGGGAGAGAGGGGCTGAAACAACAGGAAAGAGATGAGTATGACATGAAATTTCAAATTTTTTTTCTGTTGAAGGCCATGGTGTCCTTGCAGGGTTTCCAGTCTGGAGTCAGGGAAGGTGATAATTTCTGTCTGCAAAATCACAGTGTAGGCAGAAAGCTGCCCTGGTGTCTGTGTGATCCCAAGAGGTTCCTGCTCAGAGCTGAGGCTTTCTTGGTGCTTTTCTGTGCTGAGTGCTCAGCCCAGAGGGCTCCTGTGTGCCTGCCCTTGCCCTGCCTCCCTGCTGGCCGGGCTGTGCTCAGTGCTGGGCTCACGTGTTTGCCTTCAGCTCACATTCACCGCTGACCTAGAAAAGCTCCTGGCACTGCACAGCCACAGCAGGACAGGAAACAGCTCAGAGGCACAGAAAGAGCCAGCAATTACACACTCCTGGAGCCCATTTCCATGCTATCTATTCTGCTATCATGGCTTTGGGTTGTGCCTGTTGAGTTCATTGCACATAAAGGGCCGTGCTCTTTGCAACGTTCTGGTTGCTGTCAGTGCTGGCTGGTTTATTGGAAAGGTTCTTTGTTAATGTCTGTTATAAGTGAATTTGTGCTGGACTTCCCAGCCACTCTCTGGCAGCATCACTCTCCTTTTAAACTTCTTTATTGACATATCTGATTGTCTCACAGGCCAAAAGATTCACTTCTCTGACTCAATTACTTCATGCTCAAAGTGGAGTCTCAAGTCAGAATGGGAACAGGTGGATCTCATCATGGGCCTTGTTTTCCATACTTAGTTTAGGCAAACTTCAGACACGACTAAACATTTGTGTAAGTGTCTCTCTAAAGAAAACTAAAACCCCAAAGCCAGTAAAATTCACAGTATCTAGTGCTCTTAAATATATATGTGTATTTATCTTGTCCCCAGCCCAGAGCTCTGAGTGCCACCCCCAGGAATTCCTGGGACACCTCCAGGGCTGGGCACCCCAAACCTCCCTGGGCAGCCCCTCCAAGGCCTGGGACAAAACTGAGCTGAGTCCAAGCACTCAGATTATGAACCCAAGGGAATCTGAGGGCTGGGTACACAAACCAGGGCGTGCTGTGAACAGGAGGTGATGCAGGAGGAATGTGTGGGGAAAAGAATGACAAATAACCTGTGTTCTCAGTGTAGTGACGCAGAATCAGTCCTGAAATCCTCTGTTCATGCTCTTCCCAGACTCTCCCTGGCTCTGCAGCCCTGTGCATGTGGTGGCAGAGGATGTTTTAAATCAGGTTACCTGGGTTGGCTTCACAGCCCTGCACAGTCCTGTCCATCCACTTGGCAAAGTTTGTTTTAGAAAAATTTGTCTCCATGCAGTCTAGATGTTCAGAATACCAAACATAACTTTTAATTTTTTTTTTTTTTTGACACACTGTTTTGGTTCTCTTTCCCACGAAACCAGTTTGATTACTTAGGTCCTTAAAGTTCAGCACACATCCAGGTGATTTGCTGCCTCGGGGTACCTAAATTTCTGTATGTATTAAAAGTACTCCACCCCTCTCAAGTCCCAAAGTCCACATTTGAAAAACATCAAATTCCTTCATTACTTATTCTTCTGCCTCCCCCTAAATTCTTCCAGTCTTAAATGACAAAATAAGTACATTATGTAGGGATTTTATTTTTTGGGGCTTTTTTACTTTTTATAAAAGTTGCACATATAAAACGTGTAACAAATATTTTCAGTTTATCGCTTTAAGGTTTTTTTATCACATTCACAGGAGGTGTAACACAAAAACATTGTGGCAAGAATTCACAGAACAGCTACAGCTAATAGCCAGATCATGTCAAGAGCTAACAAAATACAAACATAAAATGCAAGTGGGAGTGTATTTGCCTAGAAAACCTTTTTCTTTCTTCATTTCTTAAGCTGACAGCT